AGTTCGTGGGGCATATTTGGTATTAGGCTTAGTAGTGGCTCAACAATTTATATCATGTGTATGGCGTTGCTTTTAAGATATTGCTCATAAGTTTTATAAATAAGATTTGATGCATTTAAAATCGTTTTATGCATATAAAATCTGTGAACTCACCAACTCTCGTAGTTGACACTTGTTTGACATTCTTTTTCAGGGTAAGAAAGAATTTCGATGACACATGTTTGAAGACGTGTCACATTTGGAAATTTCAATCTTAATTTGTGTTTAGTRATGTAATCTTGTATTTTGGGATTTTAAACTTTATTTATTTTGTATTTATGTTTTCTAAATGTATGGTTGTGTTGTTTATACACTATCGCTATGAGACTCTMCCTGCCATATCCCGTGTTTCCGCTTTAGCGGGGTGTGACATTTATATAGTTATTAAAAGAATATTAATACCTTATTAATTAATAATAACATAAAGTTAATTAATTTATAACATTTATATACCTAATAAATAAGTAACTTTAGAGACATGTGTACTTAATTAATTAATTAATAATTATGTGATATTAATTAATTTATATAATTATTAAAAGAATATTAATACCTTATTAATTAATAATAATATAAAGTTAATTAATTTATATACATGCATATCTATAATACTAATAAATATGTAACTTTGGGGACACGTATCACGTTTTTGTGCGACGGTTATTGATTTTTCCCGTCGAAAACACAATTTTTACTTACGGCCCCCAGAATTACAACATAACTCTGGAAAAATTCGCGTATGAATTTAACTCTGGAGTGGTCATCAAAACCAGGTTTAAAATTTCAAATTCCCATTTTTGAAGCATTTTTCACAAAGCAATATTACCCGGGGAAAAAAAAACTCGACCCCAGCCAGGAACTCTGCCCCTTGGACCCCGCCAGGGGCTACCGCCCCTTGGACCCTGCCACCCGGGGGCGCTGCCCCCGGACCCCTTCTGTTAGTGGGCTTCGTCCCTAAATCAAAATAACTCAAACAAGTGTGCACTCCGCACATGCCTTAACTATTCAATATTTATCATGATTACATTGGTCAACAATATAATCCCATTACACTTAAATGACATTAGTGATACAAATCATCAACATGATGTCATCAGATATTGGTTATTTCTCAGACTTACAACATAACTCTGAATTGTTCAGTTCCAAACTTAGTTATATAGTTATTCCCAGACTTAGAATACAACTCTAAACTACTCTTCAGAGTTACATTTCTGAGTTATAAGAAATCAAATTTCTTATGACTCAGAGTTATGCTCGTAGATACTTTCTAGACTTAGAAGACAACTCTGAATTCCTCTTATTCAGAGTTAAGTCCAGAGTTATTTTTCAGTCTAACAATAGAATTCTGAATTCTTATGTTTCAGAGTTAATCTTCAAAGTTTTCTTTCAGAGTTAATGTCTAGAGTTTTTCTCATTTAATAAGAGTCAAGGACAATCATTATCAAAAGTTGGTTTATTTCTGAGACAACGGAAAATTTATACAAACTTGTAGCATTGGCTAATTTTAGCAATTGACTCTTGAAAAAAAATTCACACTTGTAGCCAGATTGGTCGTCTTGATTTAGAAGTCTTGCAACGCTAGATATTGTCCGTCGTGAACTCTGGATGATTTCTTAGCCCTTGTGTTTGTCAAGCCTGATTATGTCATTCATATAGAACTTAACAGAGGTTATGCACGTGTTATGCTGTCAATCTGAACCAAACTCCGAGTTTCATGCAGAGCTGCACAGAGGTTCTGCATTTAAGTCTTGAGAAAGAGCTCTGTCTCTTCACGAAATGCGTTGAGGCTCTGTCTCTTACTCCGAAGATGGCCTTCAGACTTGTAACTCTAAATAGTTTCCGTCTTAATCTCTGTAAACTTTCTTTACGCCTGTGTCCTTGAAGCCCAATTCCGTTCTTCATACAGAGCTTAACAGAGGTTCTATAGGTGTTACGAGGTCATTATGACCCTGCCTCCGTCCTTCATACAGAGCTTCATAAAGGCTCTGTACTTGTCTTGAGTAAAAGTTCTATCTCTGCATGTACTACCCCAGAGCCTCTGATTCCCTTTGTTTGTCTCATATAGAGGTATACAAATGTTCTGCATGTACTACGCAGCGCTGCATATTGGATCTACATTGTTCGTCTTCATTTAGAAGTTTTTCTGATCATCGAAGCACATGCCGTCCTTTGTATATGTAACATTTAATTCTCGAGTAAGAGCATCTTTATATAAAAAATTTAATCGGACTTGTACTTTTGTCTAAGTTTATAAATTACCTCCGATTATTAATTATTTATAAAATACATATCAGTTTCGTTTAATTTTTATCATTAACCCGTGTAATATACGGGTCCAAACCTAGTATAATAATATAAAAGGAAAAACCTTTACATCTTAAATATTGACGATTTGAATATTCTTAAAGATTGTACTCTCGTATTTTTTTCAATCATCCACAAATGTTAGATTTGAGAATAAAGATTATATAAAGAGAGTGAGAGTGAGGGGAAGATGATTATATTGGCTAATATTGTCTTTGAACCACCCTCAACTCAATAGAGAAAACATGTTGTATATATAAACAAAACAAAACAACACAAAAAAGTGTGTCTACTTTTACCTTCCTTTCTTTATATGTAAAAAAGAATTAATCTCAAGATTTTAAGATGGCATTGGAGAATCCTCAAATTTTGCATTTTTAATCATTTTATGAGAGAATGTCAGATTGAAAAATGAGAAACCATATAAATTTTGAAATATAACCACTTTATTCATCTCTTACTGTTACTGGTAAGGCTCTACTTTTTTATGTCAAAATTACCACTTATCAACTGTTTATCATTCAGTTTTAATCGACAAATTACGTTTTTATTTCAATCAAAAATCCAGTATTTCCTTCAAAAAATTTATCATTAAATAAAACCAAGGATAATCATGTAGGTATCATCTTCTTTTGTCTTGCAAGTTTTCAAAAATAGCACACGTCTTTTGGATCAAAAATACCCCCCTTGGCGGACGGATTACATTGTTTGTTTGTGTCATCCACCGAGTACTTTTTGCTTCTTGGACGTGTTGATGAACGATCTTAACACCCATTCGGTTTGTGCTTCCTCTTGATCAACCGTTCCAAGCTTTATCTGCAACAAAATTTAGTTATATACTTCTTGAACCACACCAATACCCATTCTGGGTTTGTGTTGGATAATAAATAATTGGTGGTTACCTGATACAATCGTAATTCAAACCTTGGACCAACCTCCTTCAGATCAATTGATTTTGGCCCTCCACTTTGTCTATACACATGATGCCTGCATGTATATTAATAACAACACTCTCACAAATTCACATAGTTGTTAGCTAATAAGCTAGTCATGTTAATTGATAACAATGTATAATATGACATGTTGAATGACTAACTGAAAAAATATAAATGAAAAAGAAACCCAAATCTTATTGAAACCCTAGCACCATTTCGAAAAGCTAGTTTATTGATAACCAAACAAGGTTTTTTCAATAAGCTCAAAAAATAAGCCAGCTTCTACTTGCCAAACATTGGCCAAAGACTATGACCATGACCATGACCATGAAAATTGTCAAAAAATGTGATTTTATTTGAAGCTTGGTAGGGATATATACAAAACGGTTGATTAAGTGAAGTTGACGAAAGAAAGAAAATTACCTGAAGGAAATATAATCTGCCTGATTAGCAAAAGTGATGATGCGTTTGGAATCAGGCTTGGGCACTGGAAAGAGATGCTTCAAGATGTTTGCAGTCCTTTCACCAATCTTAAATCAACCATACAATGAAACAAGATAAACATGTCAAAAAATAAATTAAAGAAAAAGGAATGATTGATAACAGTTAAGTGTATTCCATTAATGACCAACGAACAGAGGCTTATGGAATTGCCTCAAAACCGCCATTATTCCAGTTTCAGAAGAATAACAGCCAATATCCTCATCAAACAGCAAGGTGTGTCTGAACATAATATAGTATCCAATGTTCCATTTATTTGTAAGCTCAAATTTGGAGGAAGATGTGTAAGAACACAGACTCTCTTTCTCTAACGACCACACACACAAACCTAGTCATAGATGTCAAAGATGGGGAAGTTTTATGCAAGAAAATCAGCTAACGTTCAGTTAACCTCTAGGCAATAAACAGAATCATCAAAAACGAAAGAAGAGGTAGACCAAGTCTTTCGCAAGAATAAATTTCCATCAACCCTTTACATATAGCAAGCCCAACTACCAAAATCAGCTTAGCCTTTCTCTCGTTTAAGCCAATATATCTAAACAAAAACAGACCTGCTCCTTTTAGATGATCACCTTTTCCCTGGATCTTGTATTACTGTAGGCAGTTGTTTTACTTTATGCAGCATTTACCCATCTTTTCTCTTTCATTTCCCATTTCTACCCTTCAGTAAGTTCCCTAAATAGATACATGGCTTCATAGGTTAACCAGAAGAAAACCATATATGAAGTCGATAACTGGACACCAATTTTATGGCATGATCCATTTCTAACTATATCATCCAAAAATTACAATACGTTGTTCCATCTCCTTATATGTCCATTCTTCCCAGAGCAGTATCATGTTGACAGCTCACCACTTCATGTTATTTCAGACACCATAACCTTTGACACAAAACTTACTAAATAAATACATGATCCTTGGCACATGCAAAGCTACGCGAGTGATTTGATTTAATTCTAAAACACTATGCAGCATATATGAATAATAAATTACTTGCCGCTATTTTTTAACCACACACAACATCACCTGTCTCATTAAAAAAACAGTCAACAACTTCCTCTTGATTGAGAGGCACTAATAGAAATTTCAACAACAGTCAATATGATGAGACAAGTGACTATACCTTGGTCGAGAAGTTGTTAAGAATCAGATGCGGATAAGCCTCAGAAACAGTTCCCATTTCCTTCTTGTCTTTATTGTCATGTCTAGTAACCTACAGGTACATATTAGAATTTGCATTTAAATTAAGAGAACAACTATGCCTCTTGAGGATCTGAAAGTAAAGCATAATCACTCACCACATTGAGAATCTGAAAGTAAGCAGTTGGACCAAAAGGTAGGTGACTTATAACTATCTTATCCGGTACACCACGATGTTCGTAAACTAGTATAACATCTGTAAAGTCATGTGCTCGGCAAGTCTCAATTATTTCAGAAATAACCTGCATTGACCAAAGATCCAAGTCATAACCACAGAGGCAAACCACAGAAGGAAAACTATTTGATCACATTATGTTTTACCTAAATACAATTCATAAGATGTTTACGACCTTGATAACTGAATAAATTCTTTCCACAAAAAAGATTTAGTTAAATTTCCTGACAGTCAGACATATGCATGCCAAAATCAACAACACAATTACCATAGTTGTGCATGGAATGAACACTTATAAAACATCTCAGCATCAGAACAAGTTAAAAAGGCGGCAATCAAATGGGATCTTGAAGCTGAGAATCACACAAACCATTGTGAGGGCCTCTTTAATATTCCACACTTGATTTATATGTCTACCTTCATCATTAAACCTCTGCATTTCAGAATCTTTTCCCAATTTTGAAAATGTGTATTATCCTCCTATTTCTTCTCTTTTCCCAATCATTAAACTTCTCAACTGACACTAGCATCTTTTATTCATATGTGAGCATGCATGTACCTGTTATCGATTGTGAAATAGCATTAAAACTGTTCATGGGTTTAATTGCTAGCATTTACTGTCAAAACCATAAAATCATAATATTCAAAACCAAGTGACTGAGAATTTAACATGAATTACCGAATTTCACCCAGAAATCTTGTTTGCCATATTAGATACACATTATTACCATATAAGTTTCTTATTTGATTATTTTCTTAGCTCTTCGTGATGCAGGAAGAAAAGATCGCAACTTTGAAGCCTTTAAATGGATCATAGATGAAAGTATCGGTTATTTGATTAATATTCAATGTCATCTGAGTTCTTCCAACCAGTAAATATGTTGCTGATGACTCTGTTATGAACTCAGATTACTGAATAAAAAATATAAACTCAATGCTGGAAAAGGCTTGCAGAATGATTTAAGAGGAAGGATAAAAATAAGAGAATTTCTAGCTATTCGAGAGGCTAGACTCTCCCATTACAAGAAATGAGTAAAATTCTGGATGCTCCACTCAATACCCCTACTACCCCATTATCATATCCATAAAAGATTTATTTGAGGAGTTACTCTACTACCCCTCTCCCAACAAATTCCTCAGCAAAATGCTATCATGACGTTACCTTGGTTTAAAAATGCGCGCATAATGCGCTCTGATGCGTGATGCACTCTGATGCGCCGGAGGAAACGCATCAGATGGGCTGATGCGTTGCGATTCCATGATGCGCTCGCATCACCTACATATCACACGATGCGTGCATCACCTATGTATCAGTGCATCCAGTATGTTTCATGTTTGGGCTCCCTTTTTCAGTTTTTAGTTGGGCTTTATAGTTGATTAAAATAGAACATGAGACTGAATGGTGACCTAATAGAAGCCGACAGCCACTAATAGAAGAAGCAGAAGTCGCACTCGCATATCAATCAGATTAAAAAAGAAATAGGACGTGAGTTGTTGTCGTACAGCCAAATGAGGGAGATGAACCCTTGTTGGGGTTTGATGATGCTGATCTTGGGGAGTATTAGTTGGTCACTTGGTCATTTAGTTTARSGATTGGGGMYTATTAGACATTTACTTGTGTTCTTCATGGTAGTAGTTTGTGTGTTATGTTATTCCGATTCACGAACTTTTTAAGATTCTAATGCCACTTTTTGAACTACTTTATGTTATAAATGAAGTATTTTGATAGTAAGTATTTTTAAGGTAGAAATTGATATGTAGAACTAATTTATAAATATTTTTTGAATACCGGGCGGATCACGTGCGTGATGCAAGCGCATCAGCATCACGCATCGGCTTCCGGGACCCTTACCGCCTCGGACCGCATCGTGCTTTTTAAAACCAAGGACGTTACCCCTTGTTCCCTCCTGGCCTTGTTTACTTGGAGCATTTTTCCTGGAGTAGGTGAATTGAAGCGGAGGGTATTTTAACATAAGAATACATCAAAAAACAGATACCTGTTCAGATCATGAGTCATACCTCAACATAAAATGTTTAAATAAAGTATGGTAAATGATTCTTAGGGTGAGGATATTAAAGATGCAACACTATGGTCCCTAAAAAGTTAAAATTAATCTCGATAAGAAAACAAGGTTGTCAATTTCTTCTCAAAAAACAAATATCAATAAAACCACAAATTTGGAAGATGATCCATCTAATATTTACAAGTCCATTACTTTCTTACAGGAACCAGGCCCCGATTCTCACAATTTCAAATTAAAAAATATGCATTTTTCACTACTTCTATTTGCCCAAGATCACATCAAGTTACTATTCATGTTGACATATCAGATGCTCCTTATATAAACGCTTCTGTACAGAAAGCAAACTCTAACAGCAATAGACATTTTTGAAAATCGTACAAGGTTAATAAAGTGTCAAAAATATAGCAGTAAATCAACTACAATTAATCAATTTATGTTTAAAAGTTAACCAACCTGACCACCACGGTTCATTCGTTGTGAATTAGGGAAGACAAGCTTCAATTCCTGCAAGTAAGAGCCATTAAAAATTTGCTTTTCAGCACAATATGACTGGGAACGATAAGAAAACAAGATAGCATCATCAACCACATCGTACGTAATGACAGGAAAGTAATTTAACAAATAGACAAACCTTTACAAACTGTTTAAGGGGAGCACTTGGGTCGTGAGATGTGGTTAGCAGGATTTTTGGATCTCGTTCATTAGCATTGGCATATTCATCATCTATGGTTGACCTTGGAACTAAATTTAAAGAAAACGTTAAACTTGTTACAATTTGAAAAAAGAAATCCTATAAATAAGATAGATAAAAATCACACTACTCCATTTAAGAATCTAACTACAAATTCGGTCCATCTTACTTACTGTTCTAAGATCAAAAGTTGTCACGTCTTTCTCAGAAATTTGGTGTTCGACTTCAAGTTATATTACAAATTTAATACATACTATTCTAACGTAATACTGTCCATATTATGATATTATATCGTTCCTTATAACATCTTTCAGGGACATTATTTCAGAAAACAAATCGATTTTGAAGGTCAAAAGATAACCCATTGACCATCACCGTCAAAGGGTATGGCAAATTATATCACATAGAAGGAAACATACCTGCAGTTCGTTCATCTTCAAGGTCGATTTCTTGGCGAAGAGCAGCATCCTCGTTTCTAAGTTCAGTTGGAATTGGTTTCCCCTCTGCGCATTAGTCAAGATTTTATAAATGCATGTCATATCAAATCATTTGAATAGCTACAAAAACAAAGAAGTAACAGCTAAAATTCGACCATAAACAAGGAGAAAACCTTCAAGAGCTTGTTTGATTTTGCGCTTCTTCTCGTAAAGCAAACGTTCTTTGCCTTCCAAACTTTTTCTGTACAGATACTCTCTTCTCAACCTCACATTCCTTCGCAACATACCTTCTCCTCAGACAAACAATCAATTGCAGTGCCTCCACCTTGGAGCGAATATGTAATCGAAGAACTAGGGTTTTGTGTTCTTTCGTGCAGTTGCCAGGAGTCCGTTAGGGTTTTAGGAGTCGCTATAAAATAGGATGTTTGTCACACAACTATTACGTTTTGTGCAATTCGGAACCGTGGTTTCACTCTATGCAAGTCATTGGATAGTTTCCACACAACTACGAAGGTTTGTGCAATTTGGGTCCCTGTGGTTCAATTTGTGCTATGAGCTCACAGACCATTAATTATCTTCACAACATACAATTTCATGGTTTTATATTTGAATCCCTGTAATTAAAGGGCTCTCTCTATAAGCGTACGTACGAGGTACAAATTTTGGACCAAACTAGATTCGGAGCACTTAACTTGTGTGTTAGTGGATGTATTGTTGACACGATTTCATAGTTTTTATATTTGAATCCCTGTGATTAAAAGGCTCTCTCTATGAGCGTACGCACGAGATACAAATTTTGGACCAAACTAGATTCGGAGCACTTAACTTGTGTGCTAGTGGATGTACTGTTGGCACGAATTCTATATTGTTTATTAAAAAAGTTTAAGATAAATTATGTTAGGGCTGTTTGATAATTGTTGAATAATTAGCAGGCTCCCATGATATAGTGTAGAATGAAATATAATTATTTGGTAATTGTGTACAATGAAATATGGGCTCTTAATGGTTGAGGGGGATCCATGATACAAAATCATTTAGAGGGTTTTAAAACCATTAAGAGGCAGACTTTTTTTTTGTCAAACAAGATTCACCTCTTAACGATTCAGATGTTGCTTTTAATGGAAATATTAAGAGGTAAATATACAACCCCTTATTATCTATAAAATATAAATGTAGCACGAGCCTAATCATTATTTGTTGTTAGCCATAAGTCCATGCTTTATCTCTTGGATCAAAAAATAACTTATCCAAAAAGTTGTTCACATGATCCCAACTATGTGTGTGTATGTATGTATGTGTGTATGTATGTATGTGTGTATGCATGCATGCATATACACACACATATATTGTTGGAAAAATTTATTTTTGGTGAGAAGGTGAATATACCTTTAAATTGTGTAAATGTTATGTTATATTTTTATGAAAGTTGTAACATTGACATATGTAGTATGTAAGGTTACATTATTCTCTATGAATGTTGTATTTTGGTTGCCTTCACACAGTATAACGTTATATTCACATATTTGATAATAAATATTACATTATATTGTGTGAAAAAGTTGTCCTTTATCAAATTCTCATGAAAATAAGTCTTTCTTATTGAAACCCAAGTGTGTGTATATCTGTCACACCCCGTTAAAACGGAAACACTATATGTAACAGGTAAGCGAGTCACAGCAACACATAATAAATAACACCATTCAAGTTTTACAAAAGTTCAAATTTAACATCCATAACTACGATGGAATAAAATACTTCTTTACAAAAACTTTTTCAGTGAGCTTAATCGGTATCGCCACATATATGCTCCAAAACCTCATTTCTTACTTACCTCCTGAAAAGCATGAAACATAAAACAAGTCAACTACAAAGAGTTGGTGAGTTCACGGGATTTCACATGCACAAAACGTTACAATGCATAAATCATTTCTTGTAAAACTATACACAACTTTTGCACATAATAAATGTAAATCCATAACGATGTTTAGAAACTTGAGACGCTACAGAGCATTTCCTGACCAATTTGCCCCATTAATTTACGAACGACCATAAGTAACCCGTACACTCACTTAGGTCCCACAGTTCGTAATAGTACTAATTCAGCGGTGGTCCAAAATCCACATGATTAGACCAATAAAACATAGGTAATGTGCACCCCTTTCTGGGTGGGACTGTCAATACAATAGCGGCTATCCACAATTACCACGGCCGGGGGACATGCCCGAGTTAACAAGTAGCGTTTACGGAGTGAGACTTTATTTGGAAACATACTCCCAAGCACATCAATTTAGCATTTATATCATAGTGCAAAACAGTCAATATTTCATGACATAAACAAATCTTGACTAAACAGTTCTTTAGTTCATCGGTTTTGGCTAAACAGTTCTTTAGTCCAAAGGTTTTAAACAAAGCATCGACTAAACAGTTCTTTAGTCCAATGGTTTTATAATTTAACAGTATAGTTTGCATAACTTCATGCTTTTCCCCCAGTTTAAATAAACAAAAAACAATAAAAGTGGGGCCGTGAAAACTCACTAGTTAGCCGATGAATATCCAAGGATTTGATGACGTCTCAAGCGCTGAACGTCCTGCCCTAACCTTCCTAAACAGTCCAATGACCATAAATTAGATTACCTATGGGTTCTTGACAGAGATAAAGTCAAGTTATATCTTATGTAATGCCAATGGATTTTATGAATTGAAGTTGATACTTATTTTATTTGCTCTAAAAATAGTCCAAAAACGTATATTTTACAATTAAATCCTTTGCGCCAAAAAGCTGCCATTTGGACAAAATATAAATTCTAAATCTGACATTTTTGTCTTCACAAATCATTGCCAAAAAAGAACCTTCTACTACTCTTTTTATGTCCAAATTTATATCCACCATAAAAAGGGAGTTAAACAGACTTTTCCCAAATTTCAAGAACTAAAGATGGGTTTAAGGTAATCATCATTACCCTACCCCTTTGAGTRACACAGCCCCCAAAACAGATTGCACACTCTTCGAGTGACGGCCATTTGGGGGGTCTAAACTCATCATTTTCCAAAGATAGTAAATTTATTTTAAAGCTAACACATTAAGCTAGCTTCTAAAAAAAGATTCACATATTTTTAACGAGTTTTTACAGAATATAACTGATTTAAGATGCATACAAGACTCTGTTAGCAAAACTCTTTTTGCATCAAAACCTTGTATCAAGAATACGATTTAGAAGAGAAATCAGATCATTTGATCTTTTATTTCGAAAGATACAATAGGCGAGAGTGCGGACAGAATCAGCCATTTTTCAAATTGTCTTCTTCCGATTAAATACCACATGCAATGTGGTTTTCTCCTACTTTCATAGAGTTCAAAGTTCGTGGCTCATAGATTATCATCATTTTGAAGACATTTAAATGTCTGTGATGTATAATCTCCCCCTTTTTGAATTCTCTAGAAGTTTTTAGKTACTAGAACGAGAAGTAGGAGTAGAAATGTTAGAATCTTTATTATTACATAAAGATAAGATAACTAGGCTAATACATTTTTCTTGAAATCTTGAATATTCTTCAAGATTGACGGATTTCTAAAGATTTCTTGAAGACGAACTCGGCTGAAGGGGTTCGATTTAGAAAGAGAGAGTTTAAGGAGAATTGTTTATGCAAGGTGGGAGGTGAAAAATGAGAGTTTTCAAAGAATGTGGGTATTTATATGTGAGATTTTAAGAAGGAAATGGGCCGGCCTCAAAGGCCCAAGTCCATTTAAAAATTATTTTTCTCTTAAATAATTTAAGGCCCATTTAAATTTATCCAAACTACAATTTGATAAAAAAAATATTATTATTGTTATTAAATCAAAACTTCACATTTTTGGTCAATTTATTTGGACATTCACCTAAGACTTTTATGTTTTAATTTGGACTTTGAGATATCAATTTTATTATATTTGGGCATTTTCTTAATATTTCTGGCATTACATAAGTTGACTTTATTAGTTAATCGTCGAAATAAATCTCACTGAACTATACTTTTGGGAGCTAAGCCAGATGAATCCCAATCAATCATGACTAGATCCTAAATAAATATAGCTCTAAATATAGGTACCCTACAAAGGTGCTAACCTGATGCACCAATAATGACGGATGTCACAGTCTCCCCAAGTCAGAAAATTTTTGTCTCGAAATTTATTCGTCAGTCCTTAACTTTGGACTCGATTGGAAACAAGTGGGGGTACTTGCTTTTCATAAAATCCTCTCTTTCCCACGTGTACTCCGATCCATGCCTTAAAGTCCAGTGCACTTTTACAATTGGAATTTTGCTATGCCTCAACTGCTTGACTTTTCTGTCCATGATTTATGTTGGTTTTTCAATGAAGCGCAGATGTTCGCTAATTTGTACATCTCCCAATGGCATGACCAAAGTTTTATCGGTTAAGCACTTTCTGAGATTTGACACATGAAATGTATCATGAATAGCGCTCAGCTCTTGTGGCAGTTTCAACTTATATGCCACTGGTCCAATTCTCTCGGCTATTTCAAATGGACCAATAAATCGGGGACCCAATTTCCCTCATTTCCCAAAATGCATTATTCCTTTCCATGGAGAGACTTTTAGGAGTACTTTATCTCCTTTTTGAAACTCTAGTGGTCTCCTCCGATTATCAGCATAACTTTTCTGACGATCTCTTGCAGCCTTGAGTCGATCATTGATGATTACAATCTTGTCAGTAGTCTCTTGGACAATATCAGGTCTAGTTAATTGTCGATCGCCAATTTCTAGCCAACTGAGTGGAGATCTGCATTTGCGTCCATATAATGTTTCATAAGGCGCACATTGAATACTGGTATGATAGCTGTTATTGTATGCAAATTTGACTAACGGAAGGTGCATATCCCAACTTCCACCAAAATCTATGACACATGCGCGCAATATGTCTTCTAGTGTCTGGATTATTCTTTCGTCTGTCCATCAGTTTGAGGGTGGTATGAAGTACTTAGATCCAAACGTGTACCCAACCCTCTTTGAAGTGATTGCCAAAATCTTGACGTAAATCAACTGTCCCTATTCGAGATAATGGAGATAGGTACTCCATGCCGAGTAATGATTTCATTTATGTAAACCTGAGCCAACTTCTCCATCTTATAATCTTCTCGGATCGGTAGAAAATGAGCAGATTTTGTCAGTCGATCTATGATCACCCAGATTGTATCATGCCCTTTCCCAGTTCTGGGCAACTTTGTGATGAAATCCATCGATATTTATTTCCACTTTCATTGGGGAATCTCGGGTTGTTGAAGTAGACCGAATGGTTTTTGGTGTTCAGCTTTGACCATTGCACAAGTTAAACATTTGCCTACGTGAAGTGCAATGTCTTTCTTCATTCCAGGCCACCAATAGTGTTTCTTAAGATCCTTGTACATCTTATCCCCTCCTGGGTGGACTGAGTATTTTGATCGATGGGCTTCATCCAAAATTATGGATCTAAGATTACCATTTTTTTAGGTATCCAAACCTTGTCTCCCAAGTAATAAGCTCCATCTGATTTCAGTTGAAACTTAGTCTCTATGTGGTGTAGAGTTTCATTCTTCAAATTCTCCTCCCTTAATGCCTCTTTTTGATCGTCGAGAATTTGTGCCTTCAGACTGGTGCTTACTATTGCTCCCAACGCTCTCACCCTTATTGGTTTCACTCTTTCCTTCCTACTTAGAGCGTCGACCACCACATTTGCTTTACCGGGATGGTACTTGATTTCACAGTCGTAATCGATAAGCAGTTTAACCCATCTTCTCTGCCTTATATTTAACATCTTCTGGTTGAGGATGTGTTGAAGGCTTTTGTGATTAGTGTACACAGTGCATTTGGTACCATAAAGATAGTATCTCCAAATCTTAAGTGCAAATACTACGACTCCTAATTCTAGATCATGCGTAGTATAATTCTTCTCATGCACTTTGAGTTGCCTTGAGGCATATGCAATGACCTTATCTTTTTGCATTAGCACACATCTCAATCCTTGAGGTGATGCGTCACAATATACCACAAAGTTTTCCACACCCTCGGGTAAGGATAAGATAGGTGCATTACACAATCTTTGCTTAAGGGTCTCGAATGCCTCTTCCTGTTTCTCTCCCCAGACAAACTTCTTGTCTTTCTGAGATAAGGCTGTGAGTGGTTGTGCAATTTTTAAAAAGTTCGCGATGAATCGCCGATAATAGCCTGCCAAGCCAAGGAATTTTGACCCTTAATAAAAGTTGTAGTATGCAGTATGATCTTCCTGACTGCAAAATACGAGCTTAATCCGACTTACGGTTTGTGAGTTATACACTGCCAAAGTATAGGGGTTGCATTATCGGTAAAATTCGATTCCGTAATTCCCGACTAACTTTTATGATCCAACTTTCATGATTTGCTACATTTACATGCTATAAACGTACTTAAACATACTAAACAGTAAAACAAGTCTAATGGTCGTTAACCTAAGCTTAATCATGCATTTTTACTCCTTTCGACATTTAACCGAACAATTGGTGTACGGTTAAACATTTACCCACAATCTAACCATATTGAAACTATATATACCATTTTTATTTCTACATCAATATAATCAGTCCTAGCATTCTAAGTATCAAATATATCATAATTTTGACAATATCAATCCGTAAACTTAGATATAAACACGGTTTATAAACCGGTCTTAATAACCCTAACATAAACACCATAATAAAACTGAATGAAATTTATACCTTTAAGAAGGGTTCAGAGAGTGGATTCCGAATATATATTTGTTACTTCGATCCCTTTAGTAACTTAATGTAAAATTTAGAGAGAAGACAAGAGATTTTTAGAGAGAAAAAAATGAGAGGGAGAGATTGAGATGGTAGAAATGGCGATTCATAACTGCCTATGTACACACACACACACACACACACACACATATATATATATAATTTTTTTAATATAAGGGTACTCCTTTTGCATAAATTCTTCCGTTTCCCATGTGGCTTCTCGTTCAAAATGATTTTGCTATAACACTTTAACGAACGGTATTGACCTTCGTCGCATTTGTCTCTTTTCTCGATTAATTATCGCCTCGGGTTCTTCAATGTAAGAGAATTTTTCTTCAACTTTGTCCAACGGATAATCAATTACATGGAGAGGGTGATAATGATATACGCGGAGTGACGAGATATGAAAAACGTTATGGATATGGGACAGTTGAGGAGGTAATGCTAGGTGATATGCCACCTCTCCAACCCGTTCAAGTATTTCAAAAGGTCCAATATATCTCAGACTAAGTTTACCTTTAATTCCAAACCTATGAATACCTCGTAACGGTGAAACTTTTTGTAAGATGTGATCACCCGTTTGGAACTCTAAATGTTTTCGATGCTTGTCAACGTAACTTTTCTGCGAGATTGAGCCTTTTTCATTTTCTATTTTGTGATCTCGACTTGTTCAGTAGTAATCCAGACAAGTTCGGGTCCTTTGATAGCTCGTTCCCCCACTTCATTCCAACAGATCGGTGTTCTACATTTTCGACCATATAAAGCTTCGTACGGGGCCATGCCAATACTAGCTTGCCAACTATTGTTATACGCGAACTCCACAAGATATAGGGACTCGTCCCAACCACCAGACCATTCAAGAGCACAAGCCCGTAACATATCTTCTAGAGTTTGAAAAGTTCGTTCAGTCTGACCATCTGTTTGTGCATGAAAAGCTGAACTCATAGTCAATCGCGTACCCCAAGCCTGGTGAAGACTTCTCCAGAATCGAGAAGTGAATCGCGGATCTCGGTCCGATGTGATAGAAACTGGCGTGCCATGCAACCTCATGTTTTCCCGCTGGAATAGATCGGACAATTTACTAACAGGGTACGTCTCCTGTATAGGTAGGAAATGAGCCGATTTTGTCAAATGGTCAACTACTACCCATATAGCATCATGTCGTCTCTGAGTTTTCGGCAGTCCTGTCACAAAATCCATAGAGATATGTTCCCATTTCCAAACTGGAATCTCTAATGGTTGTAACAATCCGCTAGCCCGTTGAGGTTCAATCTTCACTTTCTGGCAAGTAAGATATTTTGCCACGTATTCGGCTATATCCCGTTTCATACCGTTCCACCAAAAGTATTGTTTTAGATCTCGGTACATCTTAGTGGATCCGGGATGAATTGAGAACAACGAATTATGAGCTTCACTCATAACTGCTTCTTTGAGTTCAGGATTG